ATGCTGCTTGGCCTGCTGTGTTCATCCAGCCCTGCACCTTGTTGTCTCGGATTCTCCAGCATCTGCAGTTCCTACTATCACTGAAGCTTAAACCTTGTTTCAGTTTAGAATGAAAATCAGTTGCTGTATTGATCACACACACTTTTTTATCTTTGTATTTGAAACAAAAGTGATCCAATTGAACTAATCGATCATATCTGGAAGAAACTCCAATCACTTTGGAGTTTGTTATTTATCTAGACAGGTTCTTTATGTCAGGGATTAGAGTTACACAAAGACGGAACAAGGTTAGATGTCAGAAGGTGGTTCCTTTCTAAGAGAAGAGTGCACTTTTAGAACAGGTTACTGGTTTGCACAGTGAATGACAACTTTGAACCTGTTCCTATCCAAGGATCACCTTGTACAGAAGGTAATTACTATATAATATTAATCAGGGCCAGATTGGTTTCCTGGACTTGCTTTGATCACCTAAGGAGTACAAAGAGGGCATTACCGCACTTGTTTTTTCCGAATTGACTTAGATTTTGTTTTTTACATCTTCCAAGAGATTATACAACTTTTTGGGTAAAATAGGGAGGATATATATAAATTGTGATGCACTGCACATCATAATCTGTGGAACAGGTTGGATGGACAGTTGGAACTTTCTCTGTCCATTATTAAAACTCTTCACTCCTAAACTCCTAAACTCTTCACTCAAAACATGGAAGAGAAATAGTTGATCACTCATGGGAAAAAAATGTTTTGGTGTTGAAAAATTAATTCCTTTGACTTCAAAGTTGGATCAGATTTAATTGTGAATGCAAAGCCACTGCTCCTCTGGTTCCAGTTGTGGGTTTATTTGTTTCATCATGGTAGATTAATTGAGAAGGATCACCCTGCTGGAAGAATTGAACTATGGTGACATTCCTAATTTCTATTAGGAACTCATTTCTAATAGCATTCAAAATGCTAATGGATCTTCCACTGTAATCGTTATGCAGAATAAGTTGTGAATAATCATCAACTTAACAACAGAATATGCTACTCTAACCCTTTCTAAGCAACAGAACTTAGAGAATGTTCTACATCGCATGCAATGAAATCAGTTTAACAGTGAGTTATGAATCTCACATTCAGTGATGATTTCTCTTTCTCCCTCTTGGTACCGTTAAAAATGTAATGTACTGAGCAGTTCCTATTATATATAAATATACTGTTATAAAAATGAACTATATCTAATGAACATGAAGCCGAAGGAGAAAAAGGGCGTAATCCATTGGACAATTGTACAACTGTGTATTTCATTAAACTTTGGTTTACAATTTTAGATCCATGGCTTTTATTAACATCAATCATCATTCCTGACAGTATACATCATAGAACTGAGGAGATCCAAAAATATCAATATGGTCTACAGTTTTGTATTCATTAATTCTCATCATCATTCAAAGTGCAATTAGGAACCATCACACACTTGGCTACACGATTGCCTTCCCAGTATCCAACATCCTGTCCATCGTGGCAGTGGCATTTGGTGCACTTATCAACCCACACAGTGGTTCCTCCTGGGATTACATGACTTTGAGTGAAGTCGCTGTAACAATTTGGACCTTAAATTTGGAACAGTGGAGAAAAAAAATTCAAATGATTCAGTTTAAGATCTATAGATTGGAGATGATGGAATCAAGTTATCAAGCTGTAACTCTTAAAAGAATTAAAGCCAGAAAAGCCAAAAAAAAGTCTGGGATATGAAACAGAAGGATCATTCGGGATAAGTTAACATTTTGAGCAGGGCACTTCCTCAGCACTGAAAGTGAAAAGAAAAGCAAGCATTTAATAAAATCAGAAATAAACTGGAGGATGAGGAAAAAATTAGAAAATGGAATCAGTATTCCAAATAGATAGATTATTAAGCAAAGTAATGGTTACTTCAATCAGGCATACAAAGACGTATTGAAAGCATCAAAGAAACAAAATAAAGTGTGAATATCTAAGGCAGGAAGAGACCTATGCAAGAGAAAATATCAACAAGGGAGAAATTGGAACCATGGCCTGTCTATCAATTAAAATAGAAAATGCTGGAAAGCAGTGCATCTCTCACTAATACAAAACAATAGGTTAATGATATTGAAACAGACCCACTGCAATTCCCCCTTTGCCACCTCTGTCAGTACTATGTTCAATGAACTCCATCCCAAGTGTCAACCCAATGATCATTCCATGTCTTCAGTATCCTCTGCTAGAGAAGAAGCACAAGTTTTGACATAACTATAGTCTAATGATTTAAAAAATAATAATTTATGGTATATGGGTGTTGCTGAAATTTATTGCCTATCCCAATTGCTATTGAAAAGGGAGTGGTGAGCTACCTTCCTAACCACTGCAATCTATGTGGTGGAGGTACTCCCACTGAATTGATGAGGCAGAAGTTCCAGGATTTTGATGCAGTGATAACAGCAATATATTACCATATCAGGATGGTTTGTGACTTGGAGGGGAATTTCCTGTGTGTCTTATCTATTTAGCCTGTTTTGGAGGTGCTGACACAGAATCAAGGCAAGCTGCACTCACTAAGGCAAGTGGTGAGTATTCCACTACACTTCAGAATTGAGTTTATGGATGGCCAAAAGGCTTTAGGGAGTCAGGAGCAAAGTTCCTGCCATACTGCACCCTGAGAGATCAAGGTGGGAGTTGTAGTAGGGAAGCAGGAGTCAAAGGCTCAAATCAAAATCAACACAGGTTCACACCTCTCGATAAAATGGCAATGTTTGGCAAAGTTGATCCTAATCTCTATTTGTCCTTCCCAGATAAAACAGATTGCTCCATGACCACCACATATGTCACATTGTGTTTTAGCTAAATTTCTGCCAGATAGGAGGAATGTTTTATGTCCTGAACAATGATGTAGGACATACGGTACATATGTACATTACCTGCAGTTGAATTGAGAAATGATGGGGAAGAACAACAATGATTTGTGGTGAAAATGGAATAATTAAGTCTGTCTAAAATGGTCTAATCTAGGATTGGCAGGACCATTGTCTCACCTCAAGAAATCTCTGCAGTTAAGTCACAAGATAACTAGCATTTCAATTATGAAAATATTCCCACATGACCAAATAATTTTCAATGCCTGCCCATTCAGTGATTTATATTAACTTTTAAAACTTACCATCCTTGCACTCTGGGCAGCATTTTCCTTTCTCATACACTGGATTAACACATGGGGGTGGAGCACAGTCAGCAACTAGACAGTGTGCAATGCCTTCCGTGTCACAGGTACATTGTTCACATTCTGATGGCTGAAACATAAAAAAATTTCTAGCGTGAAGGCTTGCAAGCAATGTGTCATAAAACAAATTAATGACAGGGACAGAGAAACAGAAGTAGCTTATTCAGCCTTTCGAGAATGTTCTACCACTCTAATCTATCACAGCAGGATAGTTTCTCAACTCCAAATCAATCTCTGTCCTAAGAGTATCAGCTGACCTAGGATCCATAAACATTTGGGAAATCAAAGCTCCAGACTGCCGCAATGCTTTGTATTTAAAAAAATGCTTCCCATTTCATTTTTTACATTGTCTAAGTCTAACTTCAAACAAAGAGTTCCTACTGATGCTTCGGCTTTTGTCTGACAGCCAATATGTCAAGTGAATGGAGCAATGCCATGCTTCATAAGGCTGAACATGAATGTCATGGTGGGATACAGCCAGACAAGTAATCAGACTCCTTGAAAATTGCTCATTTTTCAAAAAAAAGTACTGTTACATGGGGGATTGAAAATCTAATGACTGCAGTGGAATAGAGTTGGGTGGTGGGCTGGTGGAAGAGGGACTAATGCAGACGTCAATTTCCTGCACTCATGGCCAGGTGCCTATCCTTGAGTCAAATTTGAGTTGGAAGGAATTGTCCAATGTAATCCAAATTTAACTAGGTATTTAAGAACCATTAAGTATGATCTAATTTCTGGCATTTACCCTGATTGGCACATTTTTCTCAGCTTATTCTGAGACTTCAGGGTTCTTGTGGTGCAGTGTGTCCTTACCTTTGAAAGGGGAGGTCCGGTTTCAAGTCCTACCTCCTCTACAGGTGCGTCATAACATATCTGAATAAGTCATTTAAAAAATCTACCACTCTGTGCAGTATAGTGTCCTGCCTCTGGCCAGAAGACCTGGATTCAAGTCCCACCTGCTCCACAAGTGTGCTGTTACATATTTGAACAGGTTGCTTCAAAGTATCTAGTCTGGGATTTCACACTTCCAAGTTAGATCTTCCAGTTTAAAATAAATATTGTTGCATGATAGCTATTACAGTTAGTTAGGCTTCTGGCTCAGCACAGTTACAATAATATTTAGGAAATAGAGGGTGATCAGGAACAATAGGACCACTTAAAAACTGCCCAGTGATATTGTCAATGAAAATAAAGAAATGATAAACGCTGAATAATTACTTATTAATATTTGCAGTACAGGAATAAGGTTGCATGCTGGATATCCCAAGGAAGCTTAACAAGATTACATAAGTAAAATAATTCTGTTTCATGAGTTTCCTGCCCAAACAAAGGTCTTTCAGTCATGGTCAACTAATTCTTAATCCATGAACCATTTTTCCTTGATATTATAGTCAGTGATGGTTTGTGATTGCTTCCCACTCTCAGGGACAAGTTTACTTCGGTCAAAACAGAAATAAAACCACGTTGTTGGCACTTTAAACACTAGTCATTGAAGTTAACAGGCTGCTTTTTAGGCAAAATTTTAGCATTGAAGTAAATCGTGCACTAGGCAGTCATAAATTCTTAGGACTAGATAGTTTCTGTGTCATGAGTTTAAGAAAATAACAGATGATCCTTCCCAAATAAAACAGATTGCTCCATCGCCACCACGTATGTCACATTGTGTTTTAACTAAATTTCTGTCAGATAGGAGGAATGTCTTATGTCCTGAACAATGATGTAGGACATACGGTACATATGTACATTATCTGCAGTTGAATTGAGAAATGATGGGGAAGAACAACAATGATTTGTG